TGGAGTGAAACATCCAAAGTGCAAGACAGATAATAAATGTACCTTGCTACTCTGAATTTGTAGTGTGTAGTTTTGTAGTTTATAGTGAAAAGCAATAAAAATTATAAAAAGAAAGAAAGAAATAGCCCTCTCAGAAATCACTGTAACCAGTACCTATTACTGGCAGCCCTGGATTAACCATTATGCAAAATAAGCAAGTACTTAGGGCACCTAGCTTTCATGCTCTTAACTATTTCACTGACACACTCAACTTTGGTCAATTTTTTTGGTAATTGTCCTTATCTACCATGTTCAACTTTAAAGGTGTCATCAGATATCACATTTGCTTTATGGCATGAGAGTTTCACTTCCATCTTGTCAGTTAAGCAATGGAAGGGCCAAGGGGCACTATTGTTGGGCTGTGCTTAGGGCATCGGTTAGCCGAAATCCACCCCTTTGATTGGGCATGAAAAGGGGGAGTGGGAGTGAAATATTAAATCAATTTTGTTTTAAGAAATGTTTATTGGAAAACTATGCTCTGATAGTTAAACTAACGCACCATTGACCAATGTCATAATGGTGCTATGAGTCACCCTTCCCCTACAAAATTAAGGGACACAACAGAAAGCTGGCTTACAGGTGTGTTAGATGATGCACCTGTTCTGTTAAAAAGGACATATCTGGAAGTGGAAGATGAAAATAGGAGAGATTAGGTGCTGAGTTAGTTTGGATCCAGCTAGGGGTTTCCTTCAGTCTCACCCAGTTCTCTCCATACAGATGTCCATATCTTACATGGCCTTTGTCCATGAAGGTTCCATAATTGTCAACAGAGATTTTTTTGTTCGGTCAAACAAGATACCTCCTTAATTCTTCACTGGTGGAAAAGCTGGGTAGATCCCACTTTTACTGTGCTTGAGTATTTATTTTTGTTTTGTATGGGAATCAGTGACAAAATACTCTCCAAATAAATGTAAGATTGAAATAATGATGCAAATGACTGACAGAGTCCAGGTTATCCCTGAGGGTTTTTAAATGCAGTGATTTTGTCTCTAAGAAATTTCTTGCATAGTATAAAAAATATAATGACTGTGGCACACCCTCCTAATTACATGGCACTACTTGTGCTGGCCTTTGTCTGAAGTGGAATTCAAATCGGTATACTTTACTTCAGTGTGAAATGACATAGTTGTAAGATTTTAAAGAAAAAAAGTGTTTTTGAATGTAAATGGGGACATGAAAATAATGCACTTTGCGTTAGGGGAAAGTGTGTAATCTTTTTTCTGCATTCTTCACCTCTCCTGCAAATGTCTTCTATTTTCCCTTCTACAAACACTGACATTTGTTTTGTAATATGTTTAAATGGACTCTGTAACAATCAGTGAAAGACAGAGTCAAAGACTACTGATGTTTATGAATGAAAACATTGTGGCTCCCCCACCATATATACAAATGATGACATGGAAAAAGAAACTAATCAGCAGAATTTGTCATCTGCCCACTGCTGTGATAGTTGGCTGTTGATGCTATTCAGGTGCACTGTACATGAGAAAGTAGCTGTGTCCCAGGATACTGGTATCTCAGCTTCTAGTATCATCTACCTAATCACCATCTTCTCCACAGAATTTACTGAAGAGATGTTTAGTACACCTGTTGATAACTTCAAGATGTGCCTCCTGGAATTGTTGCAATGAGCTACTTTTCCAGGGGTTTGGCTTCATTGGTACATTGGGTACATGCTACCTTGCAAGTTGACGCTAAGTGGAAAGGTTTGTGTTGAGCTAAGCACAAATCATGGCCAGTGCCAATCACTCATTATCAAGGCAACACTTTGTGCTGAAACTCAATCCAGATTAAAAAATGTAATCAAGGTCTTCAAAATTAGGTCAATGCCTGGGTTTCACTCAGATAGGGTTGCCTTGGCCTATGTCATGACATCACTTCTAGAGGAAAAGTTAAAGTCACATCATGCCTCCCTAGTAATCAATGGAAATTTTATGTTTCCCCCCAGAAATGAGGTCAGTTCATTCTAGGAATCTTTGTAAAGCTCTATGGTTTTACCATATAGTTTCCAGCAATTCCATCACTGAATGTCGCCCTCAATTCCTGATGATTGCCATGGTGGCCAAGACTTGATGAAGTTCTAGACTCTTTATACTTCAAATATCTACATTGTATGCCCAGAAGAAAAATCTGCAACCAAAGTATGGGAATCTAAGAAGGCACTGGGTACTATAAGTTTATTAAAATGGTCCTAGAACAGGAGAAATCACAGACACATGAATCACAATGATAATAATAACAATTCAATGAATAAACAGAAATTAGCTGATCAAGTTATACAATCAGGTAATACAAAATTACTAAATAATAAAAAATTGTTAAAATTGTTAAAGTTCATCTAAAATACATAACACTTTCTGGCAAATTTTACAAGCGTCTATGAGAAATTTTGCACTCAGTGCTGTAACTTGTGGGTTTTCACCTATAAGTAACATTTTGAAAGACTCCAAATCCAGGTGAAAGGATATCTTCTAAGCGAAGGAAGAATGAACTTAGAACACATTTCTTCATTTAAAGGGCAGTAGAGTAAAACATGTTCTCTTCTTTCAGCCAGTTTGGTATAGTGGTTAAGTGCACAGACTCTAATCTGGGAGAACTGGGTTTGATTCCCCACTCTTCCACTTGCAGCTGCTGGATGACCGTGGGCAAGCCTTGGTTCTCTCAGAGCTCTCTCAGCCCCACCTACCTCACAGGGTGTTTGTTGTGGGGAGGGGGGGAAGGGAAAGAAGTTTGTTCCTCCTCCTCCTGTTCCACAGGGACAGGATCTCTCTGCCATAGATACCTTTCTGCGGAGGGAAGTGCTTTGGAAAGAGGAAATGCCCTCCGTTGGCCCGGGATCTCCAGTTGGGAGAGATAGGCAGCTGGGGCAATGACCTATCTGGATTTCTTTCAGGCCAGAAAAGTTGGTATTCTTTCAATATCACAATGCCATCCAATATCCAGGAAATTTTGCCTGACCAAACCCCATGTATGTGGCAATTTCATATACTGTTGCATTTACACAATTTGCAGTACAATCCTAGGCAGACTCCCACCTTCTGAGAAGTTAGAGACTGGTACTTGGCTGCTACAGTGTAGTAATCATCCTTAAAAGTCCTTCCTCTCCTTCAGGGCTCCTTACCAGTCCTTGTGATTTAGGCCTCATGCAGACTGAAGAGATTGTCAGCCGATCAGAGATGATGGAACTCCACTGGGATGGAGGAAACCAATCCAGATCAGCTTAAGAATGGTGAATAATTTTTTTTTTAAAAAAACTTTTGCATAGGGATTTGTGGCTTTGGAAAAGAGCGTCACCTTACCCAGATTTTTATTTGGCTTTTTAGTTAGGGATTGGGGATTGGTTTAGGGAAACAGTGGGAGGGCTTCTAATGTCCTGGCCCCCCTGGTGGACCTCCTGATGGCACTGGTATTTCTGGCCACTGTGTGATACAGAGTGTTGGACTGGATGGGCCTTTGGCCTGATCCAACATTGGCATCTCTTATGTTCTTATAGGGATTTGTGGCTTTGGAAAAGAGTGTCATCTTACCCAGGTTTTTATTTGGCTTTTTAGTTAGGGATTGGGGATTGGCTTAGGGAAGAAAGCTAACGTTACTGGCACAAATAAGCATCCTGTTAAGGGTCCATCATTCCTCTCTGGTGTGTGTAGATTGTGTGGTAAGGTGCTCTGTGACAGAAAAGCACAGCCTTGAGCCTGCTGAAGTACTCTGTCCAGAGAAAGGGAACTCAAATCTCCCCTCAGGGGTTATTGTCTTTATATATTGCCGGCTTTACTTTATATATTGAAAGTTATCCACACATCACGTTAACCTTATTAAATACTTTAATTTCCGGTAAATAATTTTTATTTTTTTTCATCTCCATCAGTGTGTTGTCCATCAAGTCAGAAATGTAAGAAGCAGGGGTCTCTATTTGCCTCACACATAAGTACAGACCTAGTCTAGCAGGTTTTCAAATAAGAAACTGGGGTAAGGAGAGGCCAGAGTGAGGATCTGA